CTCGAAACCCTACTCAATTATGGAAACGTATGGTTTACTCATATGATTGTTGAAAAATTCATCTACCTTATTACTTTAAATGAAATGGAGTGAATACACTTAGTAGATATATAGAGTTTACTTTGATCCTATCTGATGAAACCGCGATGTATAAGAATAAAAATAGACCTCTTTCAATCAACATGCTCATCAAATCTTTCTGTCGGGTAGTTTTATTGACTCATTGGCTTCAATATGGTTGCAAGGGTGATGGTCTTCTGCAAAACTTGGTACGTTTTCTCCGGAATCAAAGCAGCTTGCTTCGGAAACAGCGTTAAACAAGAATGTTCCAGTAAAGCCAGTCGACGACTGATCAAAATGAATGGAACATTGTCTTTTGATGGGATCGACCTTCAAATCGCGTCAGTAAACACTTTTACTCGAAACGGAAGCCAGCTCATCAATGAAGCATGCCTCCCATCTGCCCAAACAGCAGCATCTTAGCCGGTCGGACGTCGTCATGTGAACAAACTCGTCATCCCGACCTATGCCCGGGCCCGATGGCTCTGATTCTGCTCTCATCGAAGCGTCATCTAAAGCAGGTGTGATGAAGATGTTGCTGGTGTGGGCCCAGTTTTTGTCGCCATACAATGTTGGCTTGTCCTCACTTTCGCAACTCGGTTGGACAAACAGAGCTACCTCGTCGAGGATATCCGTTCCTGCGTCCTCTGCCAGACTGTTCATTGAAACTTACAATATCGGGCGGTATTCTCGGAACTACATTGCGTCGGACTGAATCACAGTGTTGACGATCTCGGTGGTTCTGCCTCCTACTTCACCACTTGCTCGAACCAGAAGATCATCCCTGCGGTTGTGCTACGACGGAAATATGTGCCATTGAGATTGAGTTTTGCACTCAATTTTATCGAGACGTCCCACCAATTAGTGGGTTTTAATCCTATTTTCGTATTAGAGTTGAGTTTCGGGACTATCAGTAAATCAGTAATATGAGATGTATTCACCCAATTTCGTCCAAGGTGATGAAGGACTGGTAGTCGAATTTTCCCACAATGATATGAGTTGAGCTGACGTTTCCATTGAATT